GGGCAAGAGAGAGAAAACTTGGAAGTTGAAAGGCTTAAGGGAAAATGGTCTTTGGATTTGTTTTTTATTTTATTTTTATTTTTTTCATTTTTTAAGATGGGGAGAGTGAATCTGGTTTATATGCTGAGGGAGAGGAGATTGACTCTGGAGGGAACTGGAATCCACAGCACAAGTAGGGGGATTACCAGGATTACCCTTGGACAAAGAAGTTTTTGCTTTGTTTTTTGGTTATTTTTTGCCACAGAAGCATAAAAACATGGGAGTGTCATGCAGGTGAGTTTGGACAGGAAAGCAAGCAGAAGAGGAAAGACCAGCCTAAGGGCCTCTTTTTTTTCCCTGAAGTGGGAGGAGGGTCCTCCCCTGAGCATAATGAAAGAGCTGAGCCTGGTCAAGGTTTGATGGCATTGTTATGGAAAATGGAAGATGCCGGTACTAGGGAAAAAATGGATAAAGGTGGTAGTGGAGAAAAATGTTTGGGTTTCCTTGAGGACCTTAATAAAATTGAAGACCATAAATTTATAGTTGTAGAGGGGAGGAGGTTGTTAGTTGCATTGATCTAGGGTTGAGGTTTTGCAGGTAGAGATGGAAGGAAAAGTGTTATTGCCATGCTCTAGTTTAAAGACCTTTGAGACTTGAGAAAAACTGAAAACTAGAATAATAACTTGCCCTGACATTTAATCCCTCCATAATTTGGTTTGTGTCTACTTTATTGTGCTGCCTCCATCTCCCTTCTCTCCTTGCTGCACCAACCTATTCATACTACCTTCTTCCAGTAATTCTGGTCTCAATTTCCCTAAACTGTTGGGTTTCCAATTTCTGAGTTTCTGTCTCCTTCTAATTAGAATGCCCTTCTAATCATTAAAGACCAGTACAAATTCCATTTGCCCCAAAAGCCTCCCACCTTCCCAGCAAGAATTAATCTCTCATCCCCTATTCAGCCAGCATTGCCCATCATGTCTTCTCAATCCTTTCCCACTCCTTGAAGAAGTTGCCCCACCCACCAGCAGCCCAAAAGAGGCAAGCTCCTTGGGCATAAATTATTGGCATAACACAGCTAATTGGAGATTTCTCTCTAAGGTTTTGAGATTGAGCTAGCAGGCTACATTAGCCATCAGAGACATAGGACCCTCTAGATCTGGATAGAGAGCTGGTGCCTCCCAAAGCACCTGCGTGCTGAGGGTAATGGGGGAGTAGAAACCAAGAGCCTTCTAGAGTAAAATGGCACAATCTTGCAGGGAGATGCAGAGATAAGATACTGGGTGGGGGTGAGGGCAGATGAAATGAGAGTGAGAGACAGCTTTCTCACTCCAGTTTCTATGAACATCTTGCAGCTGAGTTCCTAGAGATATTCCAGCATCCTTAACATGAATCCAATTTTAGTTACGTTAGCCCGAGGTAGTTGCTGTTCCTTGCAATAAATTGTCACTGCCCCTGAACCAGAAGGCTCTGCTCCCATAGTACTTTGCGTGTGCCTCTACTAGAGCATTATCTCCTATCATCAGAGTTATGCAGATGCCTGTCTGCTTCCATCTGGGCCTGGTACGCCTGTTTATTCAGTATCCCTGGAGCCTGATGCTTGTTGGATGCTCAAAAAATAGTTGTTGAATTTGAGTTCTCCCAGTTCACCAAATGGTTTGATGATGTATCATTTGTTAGGGAAACCTTATAAACTCTATGTTTCACTCCATATTTTGCTATATTTGGATTATTTTACATCTTTCAAAAAATCAAATTTGCTTTCCTGCTACTCACAAACTTTCTCATTATTTTTTTGTGGTCATTAGGAATGATTGACAGTTAAGCAGGGGTCCATGCATACCTCTGGTTGGTGAGGATATCTTATATGCAGTCCATCTTCCAGTATTCAACTGACTTTAACCTTCAAATGGATACTTCCCATGAAGGCTGTTGGGGCAGCTTAATTTCAATGACATCATTTAAAACACATTAAAAAGTCAGCAGGCAGACTAAGCACAACTGCTTCCTTTAAATCCCTATTCAGAATCATTATCTTCAGAGCTGGGGCCAGTGGTTCTCAGGCTTTGAGTTTCTATGAACCACCAGCATTAACACAAGAAAAAAAGGGAGGGGTTGCTGGATTTATCCTCTTCCAGGAAATAGCATTAAAACAAATAAGTTTTTATCAATATAGTATTATTTCATAAAATAAAGGGCATGTTAACACCAATATTATCGACAGCATTATCTCCTAATTTAAGTATCAGATGCAGTCAGGTGTGGCTTAACAACAGAAATAAGTTGTCAATCTTTAGGCAGTTTCATCATTGTGCAAACATTTATAGAGTGTCCTCACACAAACTTCGATGGGTAACCCAACTACACACCTAGGCTATATGGTATAGCCTACTGTTCCTAGGCTACAAATCCGTACAGCATGTTACTGTACTGAATGCTGTAGGCAATTATAACACAATGGTAAGTATCTGTATATTTAAACATCTCTAAACATAGAAATGGCATAGTATAACTACAGTATTATAATCCTATGGGGCCACCATCCTATAGGCAGTCTATCGTTAACCAAAAACATCTTTATGTGGTGCATGACTATACATTTGACTTTATAAAAACTGATGAAATTTTGGTTTCTAAATAATGTTTAAAATATCTAAATATTTCTAAATAACATGCTTAACACTGTGCCTGGCACATGGTCAATTCTCCATATTATTATTATTAGTGTTTAATCAATGTTGGTCATTTTTCACACAAGGGAGAATAATATTTTTATCTTCCCAAAAGATTTGCTGAGCTCCTTCATGGATTTGAAGTGTGTCCCTAAGGGGACAAGATTTGCTGTGGAATGCAATGACTCTGTAAAACAAACTGAGAAGATTTGAGATTCTCACGGGTATTCTGAGGAGCAGAGAAGTGAGAGGAGGAGAGAAAAGAAAGGAGTCTGCAAGATGAAGAGACTGAGGACTCATTCCCATGAAAACCACAAACTTTCCTTGTTGGGGAGGGATGTGGGTGAAGAATATTTTGTGACTCGGGAAGGATCAATATACAGTTTGTGGGCTTTATATCTCAGGAGTGTGAATAACTTCTCACCCTACCTCCAGCTTCTGTAACATTTACAATGTGCAATGGTCCATGAATGTTATTAATAGGTTTATGGTGGAATTCATAAAAGGGTCTACATTTCTCATGAAACCGTGTAGAACCCAGAGAGCCGCCCAGAAGCAGAGGCCAGGAGCCAGAGGTGACCAGAGAAAAGAAGCTGCCAAGAGCTCCGAAAACTCTCAGCCGTGGTTTGAGCATGGTTCCTCAGCAGACACCTGTCTGTATGTCTTGGTAGTAATGGAAGCCATTTTGGTTTCACACCTGGGAATGAATAAGGCATGATAGGCCTGGTTCCAAAGTTCTGTACCTGTCCCAGCCGGGTCAGGCCTGTTTTCGTGGTAGAATCACCTACAGTTAAAGAGAATCCTTGGCTTGGAGGTTTTCTTTTCTCTTCTTTTCTTTTTTTTCTTTTTGAGACAGGGTCTTGCTCTGTCGCCAAGGCTGGAGTGCAATGGCACAATCTTGGCTCACTGCAACCTCCGCCTCCTGGGTTCAAGCGATTCTCCTGCCTCACCCACCAGAGTAGGTGGGAAAACAGGCGAGTCCCATCACACTCAGCTATTTTTGAATTTTTAGTAAAGACCGGGTTTCACCATGTTGGCAAGGCTGGTCTCGAATTCCTGACCTCAAATTATCCACCTGCTTCGGCCTCCCTAAGTGCTGGAATTACAGGCGTGAACCACAGCGCCCCGCCGGCTTGGAGGTTTTCCAGGGAGCCCTACTTAGGTACAGCCAGAATTGGTTTTGAGGTATGGAATATCTGACTACTGCAGGACTGGAGCGCCAAGTGCTTGGAGGGATAAGCTTTTATGATGTAACCTCTACGTATCCAGAGGGCGTGAGGAGTATCGCTGTTGCTGGGCAACCTGGCTTAATTCCGTGGCTTTGGTTAAGGCGCTAGTCTATGCAGAATTCCTTGACGCCTTCCCTAATCCGCCTCCCCAGTTATTCCTTCCTGAACACCAGGAAACCCACCAGCCTCCTTACAACTGAAGCAGTTTCTGTGTTACAGTAGAGAGTAGTGATCAAAAGCTTAGGATTTAGTGTTAGTTAAACCAGGCTCCACTCTGCGACCCCACGCAACCTCCCCAGGCTCTCTGCACCAGTATTGGCATCTGTCAAATGGGTGGGGGCTAACAGTGAATAACTGCCTCGCAGATGGACTACAGGCTTAACCAGAGACCGACGGCGAGTCGCATATTCATCTTCCAATCACTTTGCAAACTCGTTTCACTCTGCATGTCTCCTCCCGGCTGTCCTTTCAACTTCTTCCTCCCTGAAATTTCGAATATCCACTCGGTGGGAAAGTCAGTCCGCGTGGCGCGCCCTTTCCCTGCGTCCCTCCTTCCCAGGGCCCACCCTCCGCGGACGCAGAGCGTCTGCCTGGGGGACGGTCGGTCGGCGATGGCGGCCTCTGAGGCAGTTGGTCCCCTCTCGCCGTGGGCTCGGGAAGCGTGTGAAAGGCCCGCTCGGATCCTCTGAGGCGCTGCCCGCAGTGAAAGCGCCGCTGCCAGCCGGGCTGTCAGGGGCGCGAGTGGGAGAAGCACACCGCAGGATGAGCGAGCCGCTGCGGAGGTAACCGCGGGGACCGCGGCCAGGGACAGGGAATGGGGGGCAGCCGAGGGTAAGGGGAGGACCGGCATCCGGAACGCGTTAGGCCCGCTCCGCCGGACTTCCTTATCCTCCAGCCCGCGTCCCCAGCCGTCCTCCCAGATCGGGACCGTAGCTCCAGAAGTGACGGCCACGTGGGTGGCGGCGCGCGCCGCGGGGGCTGGAATGTTGGCGTGTTGGGGGAAGCGAGGTTGGAACAGCGGCAAAGAGGCGAAGGAGGACCCGCGTCCGCGCGCCCGGGCGCTGACTGCTGGGCGACGCCGCCGGGAGCGAGCACGCCTCTGACGTCACGCGCCGCTCGTCCAATGAGCGGAGGCCTGAGGGAGGCGCCGTCCGGGCCCCGCCGCCGCCGCCGCCGCCGCCGCCGCCGCCGCAGCCGCACCGGCCCTTCAGGAGCGTCTGAAGAGGCGGGGGCCGCTGCGGGCTCCGGCGCCGCACCGCGCCGGCCCGAGCCTCTGGACGAGGCCCACGGAGCCGTTCGCCCGGACCCCGCCGCCCGATGTCCTCAAGATGGACGCAGCGGGGGCGGCGGCGTGAAGAAAGCGGCGCTGTGGGCGCTGGAGCGGGAGCCCGGGCGGAGGCGGTGGCGGGATGGGGCTGCTGCTCATGATCCTGGCGTCGGCCGTGCTGGGTTCCATTCTCACGCTCCTCGCCCAGTTCCTCCTGCTGTACCGTAGACAGGCCGAGCCGCCGCCGGACGAGGTCGCCCGCGCGGGCGAGGGCTTCCGCTATATCAAGCCGGTGCCGGGCCTGCCCCTGAGGGAGTACCTTTATGGCGGCGGCAGGGATGAGGAGCCCTCGGGGGCGGCCGCTGAGGGCGGCGCGACCACCGCGGCCCCCGAAACCCCCGCCCCGCCGACGCGGGAGACTTGCTACTTCCTCAACGCCACCATCCTATTCCTGTTCCGGGAGTTGCGGGACACCGCGCTGACCCGCCGCTGGGTCACCAAAAAGATCAAGGTGGAGTTCGAGGAGCTGCTGCAGACCAAGACTGCCGGGCGCCTGCTGGAGGGGCTGAGCCTGCGGGACGTGTTCTTGGGCGAGACGGTGCCCTTCATCAAGACTATCCGGCTCGTCCGGCCTGTTGTGCCCTCGGCCACCGGGGAGCCCGACGGCCCCGAGGGGGAGGCGCTGCCCGCCGCCTGCCCCGAGGAGCTGGCCTTCGAGGCGGAGGTGGAGTACAACGGGGGCTTTCACCTGGCCATCGACGTGGACCTGGTCTTCGGCAAGTCCGCCTACCTGTTCGTCAAGCTGTCCCGCGTGGTGGGGAGGCTGCGCTTGGTCTTCACGCGCGTGCCCTTCACCCACTGGTTCTTCTCCTTCGTGGAAGACCCTCTGATCGACTTCGAGGTGCGCTCCCAGTTTGAAGGGCGGCCCATGCCCCAGCTCACCTCCATCATCGTCAACCAGCTGAAGAAGATCATCAAGCGCAAGCACACCTTGCCCAGTTACAAGATCAGGTGAGCGGGAGGTCGGAGAGGGGGCCTGGCTGCCGAGAACCGGGCCTGGCGGGACGCTGCCGGCTGCGTGGGTTGGGAAGGGCAAATGCTCGTTTCTGTCCCAGCTCCTGCTTCTGGGATCCTCCCACCCTGGACAGGGCCCTAGATCCCGGCGAGTAGTGAACACTTGCTTTGCTTCCGAACGGCTTTGATAGGAGCTGGAAACCTTTTCGTGTGTTCATAGGGGCTCAAGATGCTGTCAACGCGGGCAGAAGCGTTTCCTTTTATAAGCAGCATATTGGAAATGGAAGGGAAGCCTGCCCTAATCCGCAGGAGTCGCTTCTGGGACTGTTGAGAAACTCTCCCTCTATGTGGCTGCTGCATTGAGGGCAGCCGCGTCACTGGCTTTGCAGCATCACCTTGGCCGCGTAGAGAAATTGTTCCTGGACACAGTACATGCATCAAGGGTGTGCTCATAGCTCAGGTCTGTGATAGTTTGCATTGCAAGCCACTTTTTGCTTTGATGGTTTGGCACCTTTCAAGGCAGAGTTGGTAGCTCTTGCAAAGGAATCTTTTTTTTTTTTTTTTTTTTTTGGAGACGTTGGCTCTGTCGCCCAGGTTGGAGTGCAGTGGCCCTATCTCGGCTCACTGCAACCTCCGCCTCTTGGGTTCAGCGATTCTCCTGCCTCAGCCTCCCAAGTAGCTGGGATTACAGGCGCATAGCACCACGCCCAGCTGATTTTTTGTATTTTTTTAATAAAGACGGGGTTTCACCATGTTGGCCGGGCCGGTTTTGAACTCCTGACCTCAAGTGATCCACCCACCTCGGTCTCCCACAGTGTTAGGATTATAGGCATAAGCTGCCACACCAGGCACAGGAATACTTTCCACAGCAGATTGGAAAGGAGTTGGGAACCTGTACATAGTGTACTTTATATTTTGTATTAATGTCATTTGCACATTTTGGGTAGGTTCTGGAACACAGATCCAGACTCTGCCCATCGAGCATTTACTCTCTGTGACTGTGAGTTCCTCTCAAGGTACCTGAAGTCACTGTACAGATTGTATTTTAATGCTAGGTAGCAATTTTAATTTTTTAAAGCCCTCCAGCATCTGATGGCTTAAAATTTTGTGGTATACAGCTTTGAGTAGTATATGAATCTTGTTTTAATATTGTAGGAGTGGAAGGGGAAAGTCTTAGGGCTAGAGGCGGAGTGGAAGGTGCTGTTTCTTTTGTAAAAAACTGAATTTTTAATTTCCTTTAGTTTTGTATTCACTAAGACGTTTGAACCTTTTAAATTTTGCCCTTGATTATAAAATTATGTCAGTCTTGAATTTTACTTACCTAATTTTACTTTCCTTTTAGTGGAAGTTGCCTTTTTCTGGATCGCAAATTTTCAACCAGTCTTAATTTTCAGGAGCAAGATAATCCAGAAATATTTTGAGTTTGGAATGGATTATTGACTTGTGTATGTGGCCGATGTACCTTACCAGTTATGTTTTGTTTAGGCTAATAGCACAGTGATAGCTTAAAACTTGGGTGGCAGGAGAAATTTACTTTATAGTGGAAATATTTCCATAGATTTGCAGAGGGTTGTGAGCTGGTTGTTCAATGCGTTTGATTTCTGATTCTGTGAAGCAGAACATACTTTATGAAACCTACTTTTTTTTTTTTTTTTTTGAGACAATTTCCTTCTGTCACCAAGCTGGATTGCAGTGGCACGATCTCCACTCACTGCAACCTCCACCTCACTGCAATCTCCTCCTCCTGGGTTCAAGCGATTTTTCTGCCTCAGCCTCCCAAGTAGCTGGGACTACAAGTGTGCACCACTACACTCAGCTAATTTTTGTATTCTTAGTAGAGACAGGTTTTCACCATGTTGGCCAGGATGGTCTCAATTTCTTGACCTAGTGATCTGCCGCCCTCGGCCTCCCAAAGTGCTGGGATTACAGGTGTGAGCCACCGCACTGGGTGGAAACCTACTTTTAACCTATGGAATATCAGCACCTAAATTATAAATGGGTTCTAGTGTTTGCAGCAAGGTGTGTGTTTGTTTATAGCAATGTGTTGCCAGAGATTTTGGTATTCTATTACAACTTCAATTATGATGTTTCCTGGTAGCTTTCAGTTAATGCAATTTGACTAGATTGTTATTTTGAAATTTGTAGAATAGCCAGTGACAGTGAGGTTACATATCATTTTGAGACTTTTTTTAATATAGACTTGGAATTTAGGTAAATCTAAAGTAAGTTATAAATGAGATTTATAGAGGCACTGAAAGTTTATTACTTTGAAAATCTATGATCTGTATCATTGAATAACAACCATTTAAAAGTATGGCAAAATTGCTTTTCACTTATTATATCTGAAGGGATTTTGTAAAAGCACAGCATGAGTTTGGTTATGATATTTCAACTTCTAAACTTGAAGCATTAAATGATCATTTCCAGAAGTATACACATCTGTGCTATTTATATTAGATGGCATCTGAATGCTCAGTCAGTAAGCTGCACAGAGCATATCACTCAATCTGTAAATGTTTATTGTACACCTGCTATATGCTTATTGTTGTAGGTGCTGGGATTTCAGTACTGAACAATACTTGAACTCAACCCTCAAGAATCTTAGAGTCTAGTGAAAATTGAATTAGCTATACTTAGTAATTTTGTGTGTGTGCGTTTTGTGTGTTTTTTGAGATAGGATTTTGTTTGTTGCCCAGAACTGGAGTGCAGTGGCAGGATCACAGCTCACTACAGTGTCCACCTTCTGGGCTCAAGCAATCCTCCTATCTCAGCCTTCCAAGTGGTTAAGACCACAGGTTTGTACCACCATACCTGGCTAATTTAAAAAAATAAAATTTTTTTTTTTTTTTTTGTCTTGCTTTGTTGCCCAGGCTGGTGTGGAACTCCTGGGTTCATTCAAGTGATTCTCCTGCCTCAGCCTCCCAAAGTGCTGGGATTACAGGTGTGACCCACCTTGCCCAGCTCTTAATAAGATTTAAACTTAGTAGAGAAAAATAATAATTAAATATGACAATGAAAAGGGCTGCCTCAGCAAGTGTTGACTTCTTGTCTGTGTTCTGTCCAGTATTTTAAACTGGTGATGGGCTGAGTGCAGTGACTCATGCCTGTAATCCCAGCACTTTATGAGGCCAAGACAGACGGATCACTTGAGATGAGATCAGGAGTACAAGACCAAGGTCAGGAGTTCGAGACCAGCCTGGCCAACATGGTGAAACCCCGTCTCTAGTAAAAATACAAAAATTAGCTGGGTGCGGTCATAGTGGACACCTGTAATCCCAGCTACTCTGGAGGCTGAGGCAGGAGAATGGTTTGAACTTGGGAGGCAAAGGTTGCGGTGAGCCGAAATCACACCACTGCACTCCAGCCTGGTGGACACAGTGAGATTCTGTCTCTATAATAAATAAATAAACTGATGGTGACATAGGACTGATTCAAGTTTCAGATAAGAGAATGAATTACAATACATCTAAGATATATCATACTTATCACAGGGAAAATTAGCTAGTGTTCATCTGTTTTTAATAGATGAGGAAATGGAGCTCAGAGTAATTAAATAACTTGCTTAAAGTCACACAGCTTTCAAGTGGTGAAACCCAGCTCTGATAAGGCTAGGCCACCTTTAAAAAAGCACACATACATGTGCACACACATACATAAACTATATTGTTCTTAAGTGATTATTTTTTAAAGCATGCCATTAATGTAATAAATATGTGAAATATCTTTCCAAACTAACCTAGAACTCTTCAGAAGAGTATGACCGTAAAGCTGATTTTTTTTCTTAAATTGGTCATTTTAGAGGATTCTTTGAAAAGTAAATCATGCGGCTAAATCTTTGGGTTTTCCCCCATATAGTATTTCTTTTTTAATTGAGCAGATTGTGTTTCCAAATAGAAGGTCTTGCTATTCTATTTTTTTTTTTTTTTTTTTTTTGAGATGGAGTCTCACTCTCACCCAGGCTGGAGTACAGTGGTGCAATCTTGGCTCACTGCAACCTTCACCTCCTGAGTTCAAGCATCCTCCTGAATAGCTGGGATTACAGGTGTGTGCTACCACACACAGCTGATTTTTGTATTTTTAGTAGAGACAGGTTTCACCATGTTGGCCAAGCTGGTCTCGAAATCCTGACCTCAGGCAGTCCGCCCACCTCGGCCTCCCAAAGTGCTGGGATTACAAGCGTGAGCCACTGTGCCCGGCCTAATTTATTCTTTTTTAGCTATCTAATCTGCTTAGTAGAGCTAAAGCAGTAAAGAGAATGTATGAAGTCTTAGGATCCTTTGGCACTTGTAAATCATTATATAACAGAAATATCTTGCCAGTTAACATTGTTGTTGTTAATTCTTTCTCCTTTTATTTATTTTGCCTTTTTCATGTTGCTAAAGTGAAGTGGCCTCTCTGGACTGCTAGTTCCTGATGTTTCACCTAGAGATGATAAGTTGCTCAAGTGGTTGCTAAGGACCCAGCAGATTGACACTTCATTTTACCCAAATTAACAAACTTATAATGTTTGTAAAACATTTTATTTTACAAAATGAATTAATATGTAGACAATATGTTTACAGATTTATTCAAATTAGGAATTTCATCTACTTCAATGTTTTGATTTTTTTTATTAAAATACTTTAGTATATTACAGTAGTATTTTTTAAAAATGAACCTCAGAATTTATCTTCAAAAGAGAAGGATTACCACTAATGTTCTTTTACTACATGGATAATTCATCTTCAACATGAAGTCTGAGTAATAGTCTCTGGGTGGGGAGCTGTGTTTAGGGTTTAGGAATCAGATATTTGAGATTCTTAATGATGCTTCTGTTCCTGCAGTATTGCATATGAATGAGCAGATTCAGTTTACAGGTGCTTTTTATTTGGCCTGTGCTGTTTTTGTTTTTTAACTGCCAACCTTAAAAAAATGGAAGATTCTGTGTGATTGGCTTTCTGGTTTCCATTAGGAAAAGCTGGAATATCTTACAGTACCAGTTCTGCATTGCTCAGAGC